TGGCAGCTGTGGGGTTTGTGGGTGGATGTGAGGTTTGTGGGTGGAGCTGTGGGTTGATGGGTGGACAGTGGGGTGGGGTATAGTGGGGGGGCTGCTCAGGAGGGGTTGGTCCCCCTGCATGGTGCACAGCCTGCCGTGCAGCAGCAGCTGCAGCCATCAGGGATACTAGCAGAGCCACAACCTGTGCTGCCTGTACAACATGGCACCACGCCAACCCAGCCCACTTGCATGCACCCTCGGTTAGAACTGGGCCACTTCTGCTGTCACCCAGGACTCCAGCACCACATGCAGGGGTTGGGTCCTGCCTGCATGGAGTCAGCCCAGCCCTAAGGCTTGCGGGGCACATGAAGGCAGGACCCAGCCCAGCATGAAGGTGCACAGTCCTTGCATGCGGTGCCAGGGCCCCGGGTGACAGTAAGAGCGGCCTGGTTCTGGCCCAGGGTATGCACAAGCAGGGCGGCCTGGCACAGCACCATGTCACGCGGGCGGCACAGGTCAGATACCAGGATTTCCCGGTATCAAAATTAGGGATGCAAATATGCAGCAAGGGGAACTTGCTTTTTGTTCCCAGCATGCCTCTTGCAGCATCCCAAACTGCTTTGAGACACTGCAACAGGCACGAGTGCACTTGTCTGGATGCACTCTTCCAAGAAAGATTTAGGTCAGTATTTTCAAAGGCATATGCCTACAACCTATTTACCTCCCCCACTCTGAACTGGTGCTGTGACAACAGGCACATCTGTCTCATTTCCTCCTCTCAGACAGCACCTTATCTGCTCCCCCTGGCTTATTGCTATTATGTTATATAAAAGTTTGTCTAACCACACATATTGCAGCAGGTAGAGGACTTTCCAGTTCTTAGGGGTAACAGCCACTTTCAGCACCTCCTGAAAACAATGTGCACATGCTGCCAGTCTTTAAATCAACCTGCAGAGCTTCCAGTGGGCTTTAACCTTAGGCTTAGAATAAATGTATCTTACATTAGTTGCCTGCTTTCAAGAAGTTTTGGGTTGGGAACTAAAAGCCCCCAGTTCATGCACTCTGTCTCCACATCTGGTTGCACCAGGTTCACAAAATCCTTCTCAGAGGTTCTCCAAGTCCTCCTTAATGATCGCTCTCCCTCCCAACAGGTAGGAGGGTCCACAACTCCCACATTTTGGCACAATGTGCACCTTGTGCATATGTGGGTGGCTTTGCCCTCTGGCAGGTTCATAAAGGTTTCCAGTCCCAAAGCAGCAGTTTCATCCGTCAGTCAGGATCTATAATGGCAGCATAAAATCTCTTTTTGCCACTGCTGAGTATCATTCATTCCCTCTAAATTTTCTTTTCTTCTGATTTAGCATTAGATCTGCAACCCTGAGAGATCTGTGGGACACAGCACCTGCAGGGCTAGCTGCCCCTATACTACCTCCTGACACTTCTCCATGATCCCTGCAGGTTATGGCTAAGTGAGGCAGACTTCCAGGCTCATTCAGCTTCTGTGCTGGAGGCTGAGTGCAGCCAGTGCAGGCTGGATCTATTATTTAGGAAAAACTAAAAGAGGGAGAACCACCAAAGAGGGACATGGTAGACAGCTCCTTGCCCACATCAGAGAGGAAAATAGCTTCCTCTTCCTTCTTACGGTGTGGATGTGTATGGTGGGAAGGAATTTGTATTTCTTTGCTTACAAATAGCCTCTTGGGTAGAACTGGACCGACAGCTGTGAGATAGTGGTAGGATTCTGTCACAGCTGATTATCCCTCTCCTACTGAAACCTGTGACCTTGAGGCATGTAAGACTCCATAACCTCATCACCAGTCCTTTATTTGACCTCTGGAAATATTTTAACAGGTTATAAGCTTGGCATTTCTCCCAAGAAATGTTTCATGGGCTGTTCCTGAATTTGCATTTTTTTATCCCTGTCCTTCTGGATGTAACTGAGAGACATGAGGAGAGCCACACAAATGATTAGAGAACAGGAGAGCAGGCCTTATGAGGAGAGGCTGAGAGCCATGGGACTCTTCAGTCCGGAAAAGCGCAGGCTCAGGGGTGACCTGGTGGCAGCCTATAAGTACATAAGGAGTGTGCACCAGGAACTGGGAGAACATCTGTTCATCAGGGCACCCTATGGGAAGACTAGGTCCAACAGTCACAAGCTTCTGGAAGACCGTTTTAGGCTGGACATAAGGAAAAACTTTACTGTCCCAGTCCCCAGGGCCTGGAACAGACTCCCTCCAGAGGTGGTGTAGGTACCTACTCTGGATTCCTTTTAAAAAAAACTTTTGGATGCCTATCTTGCTGGGATCATTTGACCCCTGCTGACTGCCTGCCCACCCTTTGGGTAGGGGGCTGGACTCAGTGATATTGTGAGGTCCCTTCCAGCCCTAATGTCTATGAAATGAGACAAATCTCATTACTCACCTAGTGCCTCTTACACTGATACCATCAGTGTGGTATCAGAACATTTTCTGATGTCAAAAGCAATGTGATGTTTTCTTCCCATTCCTCTGTTCAGGACAGCTTAATTGTATCAAGGCACCAAGGATCACTCGGCACTTGAAGGTTTGTGCCCGGGGCAGTTCTTAAAGGGACCTTAGATGAGAATTTTCCCCTTCTAATGTCCATTCATCCTTCTGAAACCACCTCTTTCCCAGAAAAGTCAGCATTTGCCATGTCTTAGGCCACATCTCAAGAACTGCTTGTCCCTAAGAAAGAATGGCTGCCCCTGAACCATAATGCTGTGACACATTGCCTAGTGGCAAAAAGAGCTCTGACCCTTGACTGAATAAGGCAAAGCTGGGCAGAAGCTGCCAAGCAAGAAGTCTCTATGGTGCTATCAGCTCCAAATACCAGAAGTCAGGTGCGAGCTAGGCCAGAAAATAAACCTGCCCATCCTAAGCTGGGGAAGGAAACAAGGTGTTTTGGGTCTACCATCTCCAATGCAGATGTTGAATTCCGCAGACAGCTGAATGTAAGAAATTTTACCATCGCTCAGTGTCTCAGCTGGCATCTTTCTGATGCTCCTGCCCCTATCTTGTGCTTTCCATGTCCTGATGATGAGATGGTGAGACTTACAGAGAATATATATATAGTTCCTTTTTATTACTCCATCAAGACTGGTACCTGCAACACTCTGGGTGTCTACACATTCATTAATGCACTGTAGTTACTGCACATTAAGTTTAGTACTTGCCTAACCGAGTACTAAATCAATGTGCAGTAACTGGCACCAGCGCACGGCTTTTTACTGATCCTAACTGTGCAACAGTCTAATACTACTGCGCAATAACATATTAGCATGGGTTCTGCCCAGCATGCTGCTGTGCAGTGTTATTAGGCTACTGCACAGTTAGCATCTTATGTAGATGCACCCTCCAAGTGTGTGTGTAGGAGGGAAAGGGTTGGTTTATTTTTGAGCTCAGAAAATGAAATACATTCAAAAGGGCTCAAAGCCCTTTCAGAAAGAACCTTTCCACAAGAGACATTAGAATCATGCTACCTTGCCTTCTCTCTCTAGCATCAACCCTTGAATATTGGGCTTATTCCTCTCCACCCTGTAGCTCAGTGCTCAACAAACTTCGTATTTGCAATGGGAATCAAGAAATGTAAAATCATTCATGCTTTCAAGCCAAGCATCAGTCCAAGGAAACATGCTCCCCCAGATAGCAAGCTCCCCTTGAGCACATGATAAATAAGCACAAAGTGATCCAAAGCTTTGAGGGGAGACAAAGTGCTGATTAGACTGACCTTAGCTTTCACAAAAAGGGCTGTAATAATGATCGCATAAATGAAGAGAAGCCCATCCAGTATGTAGCACAGGCGTGGGTCTGTCAGTCCCAGGGCTGCTGCGTCTGTATAGAAATACCACACATGTTAATAAAACAAGGTCACCTATATTACACAGCACAGCCTATGCATGTAATGTGGTATTGCTGCCTTCTACTGAATGGAGCAGTGTCTTAAACCCATCTCCCATGTCTCAGAAGAATATCTTACCCACCATGCTATAGGGATGCTCTGGGCTGTCTCACTATCTCTATTTGAAGCCATTTCCAGCATGACCACTAGTATGAAGAAGTGAACACAAGCCAGAGGGACTCCACTTACGGAAGACCCAGGTTCAAGTCTGTGTTCTGAGTCAGGCATGACAGATCTCAGACCTGGTTTCCACACTGAGCTTTGTGACAAACTGTTCTTTGCTTTACCTAGGAAAATGTGTACAGTTTTGAACAAAAAAAAGTGCAGGACAAGAACACCATCTGTCCTGCTCCCCTCAGAAACGCAATAGAAGGTCTGACAGAGAAGCAGTCTTAAGAAATGGGCTGAGAAATTATCAAAGTCATATAATATGATTAGGATGACCAAAACGTACATCCCTCATCCCCATCACACAGTAGGCATCACTATTTTTGGATTCCAGCAGCTGCTATTAGAACCACAAGTTCACCTTTCGAGGGGCCAGAGCTCATCTAGTTGGCTCTGGATCCCAACCCATTCAGGTCCAAAACTTTCTGCAGATGCAGAATCCAGAACTCTCACTAAGGAGTAGGTTAGATCATAGTTACTTAAAAAAAATAGAGATGTACTTTTTAGGAAGAAGTTAATAAAGGTTCCTGGACCTGCAGAATTAGACCAAATTAGCTAGAATGATTAAGGCCTGGGAAACTCATATATAAAGAGAGATTAATCAGCCTGCGATCTGTCCTGTGTGGTTCATAGTTACTGCCATACAAAGATAATGAATCAGTACTGCAGTTTCTATGAACCACTAGTTAATGCACTGCCAGGTGTTGTACTGTTAGTATGAGGAGTGCAGCACAAGAATCTGCACAGAACAGAATATCCCATACGCTGATCTTCATTCTGATCCCACATAGACCGTTTACTCCAAGACTAGTTCCTTTACTATATTTCTGCAAATATTAGAGGGTCTTATACCCAAATGGGAAAGAACTCTTCCTTCTGAAGGAGAAAAATGCCCAGTAACATAGCGGCAACTGATTTTTAGGAACTGTATACATAGAATTTGGGTAAAACATTGACAACCTCAGCATAAGCACATCACCATGCAGTTATAAGTTCATGGGGCTGACATGATACAATACTTTGTTTTATGGCATGAGTATTTGTTGCCAATTGCATTTAACTCAAGAATGTTACACTGCAGCAATAACTTCATTGCTGTCCATAGCTAAGAATCAGCATTCTTAGGTTTTTACTGTATCTCCCTTGTCTGTTGGCTACCCAAAAATTTCCCTTATATCCCGTTTTTATTTACTTACAGAGTTTTACACAACCTTTTGTTCCATCTGCTACTAAGCTCCACTGTGTCTTCTTCTCTCCCTAAGACCTGAAAAAGGGTACCGTGATACCTTTTATTGTACCAACTACATGGTTGGGAAAGACTTAGACAAGCTTTTGGGTATCACCACAACAATTCTTGCCATTTGATTCAAAATATTTCACATGCGTAGAAACAAATGTACAAAGGCTAGTTAAGGAAATAAAGAGGTATACAATCCTGACACTACATTTCTCGAATGTATTTCACAGATACGTCAAACACTTTACAAGACACAAGGCACCTCCTTGTGATGGGGGATTATACCTATTTACATGTAGGAAAGTAGAGGCAGGCAACACAAGGTCACATGGCAAATCAACAGCAGAGCTAAGACTAGAACTAGCATATCCACTTCCTTGACCAGACCACAGTGTATCTGCAGGCTTAGCCCAAGGCACACATTCTTTGCAACACAGCGCACTGTTTTGAATGGAGATAGCTGGTCACAGGGCTCCCAAAAAGTGACCCGTCTCAACCTCCCTTGGGCTTGGAGGAGAAAGAAACCTGATTCTTCCCCTTGGTACTTCAATCCTCCATTTTTGTTTCTTGCTGATTAAACCCCATTTACTGTTGCCATCTCAGGCCACATCAAGTAACTCAACAACTTCTTGCTTCACTGTTAAAATCTAGTATGTTCCTCTAAATCCCTGCTTCTCCAGTGGAACATGCCTCAACCCAGAAGCGCACTTGTATATTCAATAAAGCTCAGGGTGCCCATGGTGGTGTATACAGAACCATCAACTCCTTCGGGTAAACCAAGGGGTATACTAGTAAGTTAGTTTTAATCTTTACACTGCTAGCATTTTCCAGCTTGCCCACCTAAGTGAATACCTATACAGTGGTATGTAAAATGACCATGATTATAGGACAACCTTCCAGTAATTAGATTCCATATATGGAAAATGTATAAATTTGAGATAATTTTCCAGGTATAGAATCTAATTATTGGAGGTTTGTCTTGAATTTGTTCCCCTCCCACTGCTACAGCACGGAAAATAAACCTGGGGGATCAAGTGCCCTCTGCCCTCCCAATTTCTTTCCACTGTAACCTCTTCCCCTGCCCTCTTTTATTGCTAGACCCTGTTCTTCCTGGAAACATGGAAGTGAAGGGCAAATTTGAAAACACTGCCATTGAAACAAGCATGTCTATAATAATGTAGTTCATCCAGAATTGATGCATTTTACCTTTTTTGAAACTGCTGCAAGTCTTAGCACAGGCTCTCCATAAACACACGTCTAATCAACTTCATAGTTGGTTTCCATAACTGAACACATGCTGCTTTTGGCAGCGATTTAAAGATAAGCAATGTATTTAATGACGTTTCTTTGTATGTAAATGTAAGATGAGGAGCTGTTTTCCCAATGCTCACTCGGGGTGGGGCGGGAGAATCTCCTTATCTTACATTTGAAAAAATATGGTATTATGCAAGTCCCCATCCTCCAAAGCGTTACCTGTGTCTGAGGAAAGAGACTTGAGCTCAGTGGTGGGTATCTTATTGAAGATTGCTGCAGAAAGCTGGCCAGGCTGTCACACAGGATGCATTATAAGACTAAGATTAAAAAAAGCCCATAAATGGCAAAATGGTTCTTGGCATTTGTGTATTAGCTAGAAATAATATGTTTGTCAGCTCCTTATATTTGTAATAGGGAAAGTGCCACCCAAAGATGCAAGGCCGGGTAGACTCATTTCAATCAATATTTTTTTTTTTTTAGTCAGACTGTCATGGGCAAGTCCACAGTAGCAGAGATACAGCTACACGCATACATGGGCTCAGTCCTGCCTGTAGATTCTGACTTGGTTTTACTGCTTTGAAAAATGCAACACACCCATCTCTGGCAGATCCATAATCATGTGAGCAGCTGATAGTCCTACAAGTAACCCCATTCCCTCCAGCAGGGCTATGGTCAGCGGTAAAGCTCTTGGAAGTGGAATCATTTTCTGTTCCGTAACATGTGCACCACCAGGCCCCAGCAATGACATCGCCAATGTCTGTGAGCATGGGTTTGCGGAGCTGGGCTTCAGCTCACCGGCGGAGCAGGAGACAGGCTGAAATGACACAGCTGTCAGGCATGGACATAGCCCAGCTGACAACCCCATAAGACAGCAGCTCACAGAGAGCCCTCTCATGACCCTATTGAAAGGCGCCCTTCTGCATTATGCAGCTGGTGGCAAAAGACAAGTCACGGGGGAGAGTCGGGCCTGCTTTGTATGTGGCATGTGGCCTGCCCTTGGAGCTGTCACATGACAGGGCTCCACAGACACACTCTATGGCAGACCCATATCTTACACATCAGTGCACATACATGGTACAGCTTGTGGTAAGTGCGGTCAACGCTAAACAAATTAAATATCTATTTTGAAGTATTAAAGAAAAAAAAAGTGCAAACCCTGTGCAGGCCTCCAAATGACTCCCCAGTTTGCAACTCTGCCTTCAGATTCCCACATATGTATTGCTGTGATCTTCTGTCAAACATACATGGCTCTGATAAAGTTGCAAAGTGGTAACACCTTCAGCTGTGCAGACGGCACGCTCCTCCTTATACACGCTTTTTTAAAAAGATTTAATGCAACAAAAATTCTTGTTCTTTTAAGCCAGTGGTTCTCAACGTTTTTAGATTCAAGACACCCCTGGCTAAACTCGAGGCAGCCTCTGAAAATGCCAGCTCTTCGTTTTCACTTTTTTGCCTAAAGAAGAATAATGCAGCAGGTTTTTTTGTTGAAAAGAACCTGGAAAAACCTCAGCTATGGGTTTCTATTTGAAATCTTTGGGCTTATCTTGTAAAGCATGCTTGTAAACCTACCAGTGCTAACATTGTGTGGAACCCCAGTTGAGAATCACTGTTTTAAGGCGCAATAAGTTAGCACTGGCTCTTTGTGGATGATAAAGCATCATCACAGCACAGACAACCAGTCTCACCCAAATACAAAGTTATTCTCACACAAACACTTTCACATTAAACCCAGATGCATTCCCTCCCACAAGCACATGCACAGAGACTGAAACTTTAAAACAAATGTCAAAGTCTCAAAGATTAACAGGCCTTCATTTACTAAACCCCTCTATGAATTTTACCTTAAAATATCACCGGCACCCTCCTTTAATAGTCATTTTTCCAGTAGTGCCCAAACATGTCTCTGCTACCCCACTGAACAGAGGATTACATGACTTCCCAGTCCTCGACTGCTTATAGTTCTGCTACCGCGCCCAAGCAGTAAAGTTGCCACCCATTCAGTTTTCATTCAGATGGTCCAGAAATTGGGGGAGGTCTCTGTCCAGAATGTGGTTGGACACCTGACTCATGCCCAGCATCCAAGAATTGGCCCATCATGACATAGTGACTAGGATACAAGTAGGCTGAATTTACAACAGACAGGACTTGGGCTGGGTGCCAGTAATAACACAATTGTTTATTTGCATATTAATTTCAGGTGGGGTGTCTAGGAATGGCTTCAGCAAACAGTGGCTGTCCTACCAACCAGGTGAATCCAAACGTGGGAGAATCATG